CTCACATCTCTCTAGCCTAGAATTCAGTGTTTCACTCACATCTCTCTAGCTTAGAATCATATAGTGTTCCATTCATATCACTCTAGCTAGAATTCAGTGTTTCACTCACATCTCTCTAGCCTAGAATTCAGTGTTTCACTCACATCTCTATAGCCTAGAATTCATATAGTGTTCCACTCACATCTCTCTAGCCTAGAATTCATATAGTGTTCCACTCACATCTCTCTAGCCTAGAATTCATAGTGTTCAACTCGCATCTCTATAGCCTAGAATTCATATAGTGTTCCACTCACATCTTTCTAGCCTAGAATTCATATAGTGTTCCACTCACATCTCTCTAGCCTAGAATTCATAGTGTTCCACTCACATCTCTCTAGCCTAGAATTCATAGTGTTCCACTCACATCTCTCTAGCCTAGAATTCATAGTGTTCCACTCACATCTCTCTAGCCTAGAATTCATATAGTGTTCCACTCACATCTCTCTAGCCTAGAATTCATAGTGTTCCACTCACATCTCTTTAGCCTAGAATTCATGTAGTGTTCCACTCACATCTCTCTAGCCTAAAATCTGTTTAGTCCAAGTACAATGCTAGTAACTGCTTGGAACTGTGAGAATGAAACTGAACTAACCTGATGTGTTCTGGTAATGATAAAACATGTGATAACGCTTCCATGGAACCTAGAATAAACGTATAACGGTTATCAACACAATTTCTTTAAATTTATCACATGATCATCAGTACCTGATATTTATTATAGTATACCATATTTGCTTTATTAGAAGCACCAACAGAAGTGCACATGAACTAAAAATTGAATTAATTGAATCATTAAAATTATTCCCAATGAGCCACGGGCGTACAATACCATAAGTATGCATGCTACTAATGTAGCAAATATAATAATCATGGAATTACATGATAAACATGTTTAAGAAGAGTATACTGAAATATACTGTATTAATTATTCTCTGAAACAAATATGTCGTTATTTTCACCACCTGGCAACCACAACCGATGAGAACAAAGGTCGAAAACTTTGGGCTAAATTGTTGAGACTCCCCAAAACAGTTCAACAAAACTACGCCTACATGTGCAACATATATAAATTTGATAGCTCAGAATAGCTTCAAAGTTGAGTTTTTCACCGGCTTTTTGACTGGCGTTCCACAGAACCCATAAAAATGCATCGTACAGTGGTACATATCCTAGCAACATAGAACCTTTTGTGACATTACTCCGTCCCGAAAATAGCACTTATAACTTTATGTTGTGTCACTTACCTAAATTATACAGTAAATACAGCACTTCAAACTCTACTTGACTATCAAAACTGTGTTCATATTCCTCATAGCAAACTAACAGCTTCTTCAAACATTCCTGGGTATGAGTTTTGTTGATATGTGGGTCAAAGTTCATGATTGGTTCTTCACAAAGTCTAAAGAAGTATGAAAATGAAAAAGCCACTGTGGCTGCAGCATCCTTGTCATGGAACGGAAAAGTGATATTAATAGAAAACAAACCATGCATACATAATGAATATATAAAATTTGAACATCAGTCAAAGCATGTCAGAGATATGGCTCTGGAACCACCAAACAAAATGGCCACAAGTCAGCCATTTTGAATCCGATCTGAAAAACAAAATGATGTACATCAGACACCCATAATGTTTAATATATGTACCAAGTTTGAATGAAATCCATCCATAAATGATTGAAATTCAGTTGTGGAATGCCAAAAATGGCCACCATTCGGCCATTTTGACTCTGATGATGTACAACGAATATTTAAAATTTGAACATAATCACTCAAAGCTTGTCAGAGATATAGCAACAGAACCACATTCATTAAAACAAAATGGCCACCAGTCAGCCATTTTCAATCTGATCTGAAAAAAAAAATGATGTGAATCAAGGTCAAATAAAGTCCAATTTATGTATTCTCGAATGCCAGAAATGCTTGATTTTGATGATTTTTCAGTACAAAAATGGCTGCCATTCAACCATCTTGAATCAGATCGTAAAATTGCATATGTATAATATTATGTATGATGTCTGTGTGAAGTTTGAATGTAATCTGTCCAGGCATGTCAGAGATACAAATCTGGACGCATACACGCATAGATGCACACACAGAGGTCAATCTATAAGACTAAAAATTACCAGTAAGCTATGGCCATATATACTACATTCAAAATACCCAGTTGATCAGTTGAAATGCCCCCAAATTTTTGAAGAAATCCAAGATTGCAGCTAAATCACATGACTGATGCAAATTTGTTGTTTGTTGTCAGTTTGGTATAATGATGCAACATGGCAAATCTCTAAAAAATCAGATAGATGTGGCATCTATAAAACACTACCGGTACCACCTGTTTAGAAGAAATCAAAGATGGCAGCCAAAGAAGCTGACCAATCACAAAGAGGTTTGCAAACTTTAATGAGCATCAATCTTAGATGCTAAAAACAAATTTCAGATCAACTTGTGTCTGTTCCTATGACAACATCATTTCCTAATATTTTTCTCATTTGGCTGGGTGTTTGCTTTGTAGGACAAAATTCTGAATATCCTATATCATATTGACCTTCATACAATGGGTCAAACCAGTAAATAAGCAACACTGATCACATCATCGCTGTGATCTTTATATACAGGTCACTTAACATGTAAATTGCATTAGAACTGCTCAAATCTGTCCACTATGAACAAGAGCCATTACATAAGGGTATTCCCCAACACATATCTATCAGTAATTGTCAGATTAATTACATAATCAAATCCATGTGTGTGTTTCTTGATTCATTCATATTTGTTGTTGTTTAATTGTAATTGTTATTTTTCTTTCGTATTTAGTTTGTATTGATAGACAATGATTTTCTGTATTCATTCGTTTTCATTTCATTCGATTCCAAACATTATTCATTGACATATATTCATTAGAACTCGTTTCATGCTTGATACATGTATCTCTATTACAAAGAAACACAAATCAGTTTATGTAAGCCATTTACATAATGGTCACAAATATGCTCTTATCACAGCGAACGCAAGATAAGTCACAACTTTGTAGCGGATTAACCTTCTCACATGGTAAACCAATCACAGTGTTTCCCTCCAATTTTAAAATCGGAGGTGTGAATCCGATTAACCCTATATAAAGGGTGTTTCAGTGCATGTTTGGAGTGGATTGTTCTCATTATACCTTCTTATTATGTTCTTATTTTGCCAGACTCTACCGAAATAAAGGACGTACTAATTCATATAGGTATTACAGTCTACCATAGTCTCTTACTTGTGTTACCATTACACAAACACAGTGCTCGCAGTTTTTTGGATCTGATCGAATGTGTGCGATAGACAGCCACACCAAATGACATATGCATATATATGCAAGCCAGTGCAAACTGTCTTGGCAACATATATTGAAATAAAATTGAAAACATTACACTTTTATACTTTATCTATAAACAATACCTGTATCCAGAGTATAAATGAAATCGAATAATAGGTTGTAATATTGCAACAGTGTAGCGAGGCGCCAACTGCTGTATGACCATATCTTGCCTAACACTACGTAGTCTATCAAAGACAAAGTCATAAATATCTCTGTAAGGAACATCTTCCCTTGTCACAATTCTACAGAAAGATCAGAAAATGCATATTTATTATATTACGCCGGTATTACATGCCTTTTCTGCCACAAAAATATACTGCATGATTCAGAATTAGACTAGTGATACTTGACTATTGTCACTTGTACAGAACATTGTTCACATAAAATTAAAGCCATTCACAGAAATTAAAATGCCTAAATATACTTACAACAAATGAAAAATAGTTATGTCATGACAGAGTCCCTGTTATTTAAATAGTAAACAAAACTGTAAAGAGTCGGCCATTTTGATTCAGAGTATGAAACAATTTACCTGAGAGTAACGAACTAAGACAGTATTATACATCACAAAATGAAATAAAAACTGACTAAGGCCTACTCAAAGAGTCTAGATATAAAATATGAAAACAATCGGGCTAGCCGCTTTCAAGAAGTTAAAAGTAGAGCCAATTAGCCACATACATGTACCGGTAACTAACAAATAAAATGATGTGCATCAAGGGGTTATTATTTCTACTGGAAATACTAAGTTTAAACAAATTCCTCATGTACTTGACTAAGATTCAGCTTTGGAACAGCAAAAATGGTTGATTTCAGTGAATTTTAAGCATAAAAATGGCCACCTTTCGGCCACCTTGAAACAGATCGTGAAACAAATAAAGAACATATGAATCTCTAGATCTATGACATATGTGTGAAGTTTGAATGTGATCGGTCCAGGCATGTTTGAGGACACGCACACATGGACTGATGGTTGCACGCACACACGGAGGTCAATCTTGTGATCAGGTATTAAAAATGGGTCTAGAGTTACAGATGAAAAAACAGAAGAAATATCAGTTCTCTTACTTGCATAAAGTCTTGATCAGTATAAAGACACGTAAACAAGTATTGTATTTTAGGAGGTATGTATGACCTAGAAAAAGTGCCATATGCGAGTACCAAGTTGCGAGTCGCAAATAGCAAAATATGCCATATGCTAGTGGTAAAAACGGCATATGCGAGTGGTAAAATGTGTTATTTGCTAGTAGCAAAAAAGCCCTATGCGAGGGGTAATACAAAGGCCAGGAAAACTGGTGTATGCGAGGGGTGGTGTCATTTGCCAGTTTGCTCAATGGCAGGATTCGTTCGCTTATAATATATTAACGTACGTTCAAATGTGTTAACCAAATATTTACCATCGTTATGAAATGATGCTAATGAGGCTTTTACTTTAGGGGTGGTTCACATATAAAAATAATGGTAGCAAATAGGTTTCAACGCGATCTAGCCTAGGTGTCAACCGGCACACGCCTCCTGGTACTCAACATAACAGTCGACCAGTGTACGCGGATTACATTGCGAAGATCCCAAATAAAAGCAGCTTTAACTACTATTTCCAGTGCTTTTTGTTCATTATTCATTTAAGTGTTGATATCAAAAAGTTCGTTCAGTCGTTTGCATAGAATCAATGTTTGCTCTTCACATACTGCACAAGAAACGTGACAGCACAATAATTTAATAAACGACCATGACCAGCCAGCACACTCCACATAACAAGTGGAAATTGTTTTTTTCTTTCGGTAAAATTAGTATGAATCCGTGGTCTGCGATTAAAGAATCATGGAATTGTAATTAGTAAAAACGTGTGTTCACAGAAGGGTCACAGAATTCTTGTGTCACGCGCCGCCGGTTAAATAAAGACAATGACAGGTTTCAAAGGTAATCACACCTCGGAGAGGTATTAAATTTGCCACAACACAAGTGTTAACTAGCACACAATTCCATAATAATACATCGAGACGAATTGATAGTATACGTAAAGAAATAAAGTGAATCTACAATAGTAAAATGGTAGAATGTATCTTCGTTTACTTGTACAACTTTACGCTATAGTGTCCTTTATACACCAGTTCTCCTGGCCTTTGTATTACCCCTCGCATAGGGCTTTTTTGCTACTAGCAAATGATACATTTTACCACTCGCATATGCCATTTTTACCACTAGCATATGGCATATTTTGCTATTTGCGACTTGCAACTTGGTACTCGCATATGGCACTTTTTCTAGGTCGTACATACCTGATTTTAGGTACACTTACTTTTGTAACAGATATTGTATTGTTTTCATTAGGACATCTGGTGGTCTAAGTTCCTCTTCTGTTGATTCCAATTTACCAGCTGCTGACCTTGTATATTCCTTTACTGCACTGGCAGCATCTGTTGCAGGTCTGACAAAATATGACGATTAGAAAGATTTAGCACACATAAGTCATTGCATATGTTGCACTATACATTTTATTAAAGATCTTGTTTTGACTCCTGGATTAGGATACGTATAATCGGCTAGATTAAAGCGGGAGGGTCGTCACCTGCACACGTGTGGGAATTGAGTCCCAAGTGACGATAACAACAAAGGCTAAAAATGCAAAGGCTCATAGGTAAACACTTGTTTGGAAACAATCACATGCTATGGCCATCTGACGTATGTGCAGGTGACGACTCCCCCACTTCAAATCAACAGTAAAATAAAACTCATTGTTTCTATGGCAAATTTGTGAATTTGGGTTTAAATCCAGCGAATGCTGAAAACATCCAAAGAGTGAAATTAAATATGTAGTTTACAGTATATGTAATTCATAATATGTTTGTTTTAAATATTAAGTGGTAATGAATGATGTGATTTACCTTAAACGCTGTTGTGAACCTGGAACAATTTCTAAAGGATGCAATCTTCGCTGTTCTTGCCTCCTATAAATTGTTCAGGAAAAACTTTAATTTTACCAACAAGTGCATTGTAATTGTAAAATTTATAAATATTTATAAAAATGAAGGGAATGGGTGTGCTGTCGATAGGAAACCATGAACACATTTTCTCTGTTTAAAAAATCAATTTAAAACGTGTATTGTGCCCAAGGAACGTAACTTACTTGCACCATGACACAGAAGTGCGACATGTACTTTGTGACAAAGAAATATCTTACTACCAGTTTTGTACTTGTGTTTAAGTGTCAAAATAACTCTTGGTCAAAACAGCATAATGGTGGTTATCAATTTGTTTGTTTTTTTAACTCGGGTGGCTATTTGGGTACACTCAGGAAATTTTGACTTCAAGAATTGTGGTTTTTAAGTCAAGAAAGTCTGCAAAATAAAATAGTAATGTTGTAATATAGGCAAGACAGTAAAATGTGATATTGTAATCAGACAAGTGGGTGAAATTAAATTGAATTTGGAAGTGCAGTATTATGAAGTTAAATCTTGAGTATCTAACTCTTTGTGTTCATATAGTATACCCCATTAATACAACACTTTCTCATTAGGGTTTATCTGAGTTAGCACACTATCCCGATATAGCTTTGAGCTAAATTTTTGAATGTTATTTGATCAGAATACTACTTTATCATTATATATCTGTCACTGTATCGCCATATGTTACAGAGTGCCGTAATTTTGCGATATTTTACAGGGTATTCCAAATATGTTTGCTGACTCTGTTCTGAACATTTTAGATTTCGGCATTCCCATGCTGTATCCTTGGAAGAAAAAGATATATAATAATAAGGTTATTACGAGGATACCCCAAAGTATGCACTCAGACAGTACACCACCGCATCGACCTCCACTGCACAATGTTGTACTGTCTTCGTGCATACTTTGAGGTATTCTCGTAATAGCCTCATATTATCACATGTAATGCTAGTTACCCAAATAGTACAGACAATAGAAAATTATCAGTAACACTTGGCCTATCATACCTAACTACAAAATGTACTATAACCATTTATATAAAGTTCAATAGCAGTAGTATAAATTACTCTGACTTTCTAAAAAAAATTTATTTGAGTAGAGTTAAATACAAGCATGGGTTTATTGATTGACAAAAAAGAAACCCAATTAGTAAAAGTACAATATAGCCTATTGCTACAAAATAGCAATACTGATACTTAAAACATAACAGTTTATATCGGCAATGGTAATATAATACATGTATCTATAACATTTATCTACTGAAGGTGATGGCCGTCATGCAGTGTATGTTTGAATTTCAAACAATGTATTTTACACATGTTGTGTACGTCGCTATGAGTCATATATTCAACAGGACATGGCACAACGACCACCACCCTATAATTCAGCTAAGTGTACTTTCTTAGCAAGGAGCGACATTCCTGTACTGCTAGTTAATTTGGTTGCTTTTAAGTTCTATTTATTTTATTTATTTATTTATTAACACTTACTCACTCCCGGGAGAGTGAGTAGGTTATGTAAATTACAGATGTGTTTCTATGGTTAAAATAAGTAATATATTTTAACAATTATATTTCGTTTTTTAATATATTTTTTGTCTGTGTGCTATTCTCTAAATCAAGCCTACGGCACAAACTGGTCAAAATCCCCCAAACATTGCCAGCAACCAATCACTGACTAGCTTAAACAATAGCTTTCCCTGACAATAATACTTAGCTATTTCCCCCACGCTAACTTGAAAATCTTTTGTTTTTGTCTCATTTCCGTTTCCGGTCTGTCTTAGAGAATGGAGGTATAATCTGTTTATACCTCCATGGCCATTCTAATAGAGCAAATTAATGCAGTATCTGATTTCTGCATCGCAGAAATAGTCTGTATGCAGATACCAAAGTCATGCGTAGTGTGCATGTTGTTTGTTTGTATCAGTTATAATTGGTTTCACTTTCAGTAATATACACGTCTGGTTGTGTGAGAGGTGTAAACCAATCGTCTAGTAAATTGACATATAACTGCTCACAACTACGCCGACTGCGTGAATGTGCTTGAAGTTAAAATTAAGTTTAGTCACTCCACAGTGACTAAACGACTTTTCAAGATAAGCCAAAACCAGGAACTTGAATGTGTGATTTGCGCATTGTGGATGTGATCGCAATTATATTCCTTCACCAGTTAGGTGTTCTTCGAATCGCAAAGCACAGGAAACTTACACCATTCTTTCCTGTGGTGGGCACATATCCAAACATCTCCCCACTTTCACGTCTTCGGCCATTCCTATACCTTGTTGGACGCTGTTCTCGGTCTTACTGTGTACAAACGAAAAACGTCAAGCCAGCAATATGCATTAATGTTACTGTTTGGCATACTCTACCATACTAATAGCTTGTCTGTACTCGTGTACTAACTGCAAAACTTAAACAAGACTGTCAGAATGAAAAGTCACGATTTACGAATGTGGGCTGCCATTTTGAAAACAGCGCCACCACAGTTTTGGATTATTCTATAATATTTGTGGGAATCCTGGCTCGATAAGTAGAGGAAACACAAAAATGTGGTTTTCTTACAGACATAGTTTAGTTCTTTTATTTACATTAAATACGTATCAAACCAAGATATTTGCAGTTATAATTAAAATAATTCATTAAATACAACATTAGTATATCGATAGATCTATTCAATATTAGAAACCCCATCTGAGGTGGATAGAATCGTCCAGTATCACAGAAAATCAAAATGGCCGGCCCTGGAGAAGCACAAGAAAAATTTATGCAGCTGCCTTTACCACAATTAGATCAGCTTAAAAATAATATAGACCAGGTAGGGAGTTTCTTTTATTTTACAAATGTATATAATGACTTTTCAGCTGGTTGTTCCAATCAATGTGATGTAATCAACCATAAATCACCTGCGATAGAAACTCAGACTGTGTGACTGAAAATATTGAAGCTGCTTGTTTAAAATGTGTCACCTGTGAGACTAGAATTATAATCCGTGTTCACCTCGTTTGAACTTCCCGCTATTTGCGATACCAAACTGACCGGTTACTTGTAAAATAACCGTGCAATATATTTCAATTGAGAACGGTAATCCTTTTTTAGGATATGTGAATAGAGTGTGGCATATTTCCCGTGCTGTCAATTCAAGTCGTTGTCATGCAAGTAAAATTATTAGTAGTTTATTGCGATTACTGAGTAGTCTGAATCGACCAATGACGGTTACAATTCGACCAATTGTGTGACAGCTTTTTTGCTTTAGTCACTAGGGTACTAGTAAACGTGAAATTAAAAATGTAAAACTTCCTTCATGGTTGGAACATACATCTAGGTTATAACAATAAATATTTGAATTACAATGAAAAAAAAAGTTGTAGGTTTATTGTGCTATTAGGTGAAATGCATTTCATTTGTTAACATCAGAAAGACTGTACAGACATTCTGAGAATTATTTGGACAGTCAGTTAGCAAGATGGCGTGCAACTTTGCAAAACACTTTGGTTTTTTGACCAATTCTGAGTTAACATTTTTGATTACTTGTTTAATTTTTTGAAAAGTGCTGATCACCTTTTCAATTTTTTAATAGTACTGACTTTTCGACAGTGTTTGGCATAATGGGCTTTTTCTCAAATTAATAAAATCTGGCATTTCTGGAAAAATGTATGAAACGAGTAAAGTTAAATGTAATGAAAGGTTAACCAGAGAATCTCAAACACAGGATTAATTAACAACGAACTAACGAACGACTTACCTGATGTCTTCAGCCTGAGGTCATGTGACCCCCCCCCCCCAATTCTCGGGAACTGAAATGTCGGTTGCTTACTCTATGCATGGAACTATAAACCCCAGGAAGAACAACCACTTCGTTTCCTTTGAACTATGATAGTTGCCGCGATGTTGAATGTTTATTTTGACTGTTTATTTCGTCGCATTAAAAAATAAGCCGATTTACGCAAATGAACGTTTATCTCCGACTATCGGTCATTTTCAGAGTCAATCGGGCGACTACGGGAGATCACGTGATCGAGTTGTTTCGGTTATAGCATAAAAAAACAATGGCGCCAAGACAAAAACACTGATAAATGAGCGACAACAAACAGCATACCAAACCCCATGTTTCGCAAACTTTCGCAACCTTATTTTTTCGAGGGTTGAAAAAAACAAGAAGTAATCTAAAAACGACATTGAAAATTATGAAAACTCACTAAAACTCCGACCCGTTGCATGATTTCCGGTACACTGAAGGTCACCCTGCAGACCGACTTGTTTGCGCATGCGTAGTGAACGAAATATTTTACTGCGCAGATATGAAATTTTTTTTTCAAGTTTTCCGTTTCCAGCAAAGCGGTTGATACAGGTGTATCGGCGGCAACTAACATGGAGTATGACTAATGTTGTGGAAACAAAAGCGAAAGCACTGTAAGATAAACTAAGACAAAGGTTTTTTTAATCCTCTTAGTTTCGTTGTTCTTCCTGGGGTTTATAGTTCCATGCTCTATGTGATGACATAGTCATGTTTTCACAAAATAAAGCAAGGGTTACAAACATGCTTGGACAAACTGTATAATTACATAGAACAATGAAAGCTCTCAGTCAATCTTGGTAAAACGAAGATTAAAACAAATGAAATAGATTTCTGAATAACTACACTTACTTTCTTGAGGATCCTGAACTTAACACAATTAATGCAATCAACTATCTAGATCTGAATATTAGTGCAAATGGGAAATTCAAAACTCTTTAAGAACATTCAAAAAGCCAAACTTGGTTCAAATCAAAATTTAGGCATTTCTCTGTCTTTGTCCAGCAAACTTATTCGACCTATTCTTTTATACAACAGTGATGTTTGGGTGAAATTTTGCCAAAATCCCCAATTAATGATGTAAACATTATTGATAGGCGAAATGAAATGTACCTATCATGGCTTTATGCAGTTAGCTTCAAAGAGAGCCTTGTAGGATTTTGCGATTAAATACTTTAAAAGATTTCAAAACTTGTTCATAGTAATGAGGTTTGACTGTAGATTATTGGTTGTGTCTAACCACAGCTTGTTTTTAGTATCCTGCACACTGAATGTGTGACTATATTGATGAGAAGTCACTTCAGTGCACAATACATCTTATGTACACTGAGGACATTTTCAATTTTTTTATTTTTCACTTTCTAGGAATTAGAATTTTTTTCTTCTTCCATCACTCAACTGAGAATTGCTCAAACCAAGTTACAAGAGTCATGTGATAGCCTGTCCAAGCTGAACAAAGACACTGAAGGTAAACAATAGACCATTTTCCGTACACTGCGAGAATCACGCGTTATGCGTGAAATCGAACGTAAAAACAGGACAAACAAAGGTCATAGCGTCGTAGTGACATCAAACATCGTGTGGGATTCGACAAACGCGAAAGTATTTTGGTGACAATTCCATGCTTAATAATGTGCTGTCCACATTTGATGATAGACAATTTCGATTAAGTAAGGGTATTCGGAAGCAATATTCCTCTGTCGAAGATCGGCCGGTCAGTGTGAGCTACGAAATAAGGAAATTCAAGTTCAAAATGAAATCGTTCGATTTTTGCGGCAGGCGTTCGACGCACGTCTTTCATGCATCTCGCGAGATCTCGCAATTGTACGGAAAATCCTCTATTGACATTACAAGACTCCCTAGCTTGCTAAACATGGACACTTGTACCATTTTAAGACTCCCTAACTTACAGTGGTACAGTCACTATGAAAAATTCATTACATTTGGATTGGCTGACATGGTTTCTGGTTTTAAGACTTCCTTGGTTTGGTGTTTACTGTGACTGGTACCATTTGAAACTTTCAAAGTTTTTGTACATCATAGGTTAGTTTACATGGACACAGACACTATGAAGATTGGTTTCCCTAGATTAGCTTAAGTGAGTTGATTGATAATAAATTAAGTTTGTTTGTGTATATCATATATCTATATCATCACTCTTATTTCTCCAGGAAAAGAAATCCTTGTTCCATTGACCAGCTCAGTATCCTTTTTAAGTAATGATTTTTTTTCTCAGATATTCATTGTGGATGTTCTCCCAACAAAGGACCATATATTGCATTTCTGTCTATATTTTTTATTATTTTAATCCAAGCTATACTGATAATGTAATGTACTACTGTGTCACTGACTGAGTAAATATACCCTGTTTTAGTCATGTATCATACTGATAGCCAATCATGATTATTGTTGATTTTAGTTGGGTCTGGCAATTACTGATTTTTGCCCGAATGAGCGAACAAGGTTTACAGTTTTTTACACACATGCCAAATGGGAATGATTTTAAACATTGTCATAAAATTTGATGATTACAGTTACTTGTCTAGATTTAGACATTTACTTTCCAACTTTTATTATAAAATTCAACCTTTAAGCACCCTATCCCATTGATAATAATAGTTACTGTTGTACATATCCTTGACTTGCTGATTACAGTTATATGTTCCTGGCAAGTTAAGTGATGTCAACAATGTTCTTATAGATGTTGGAACAGGATATTATGTTGAAAAGGTAAGTCTTCATTGGTTTCTTCCAGACTAAAGAAACCTGGTAAATTGGTCCCCCAATTGGTTTACAACTTGGGTACCTCACTGTGAAACCTGGGTACCTCACTGTGAAACCTGGGTACCTCACTGTGGAACCTTAGTACCTCACTGTGAAACCTGGGTACCTCACTGAGAAACCTTAGTACCTCACTGTGAAACCTGGGTACTTCACTGTGAAACCTGGGTACCTCACTGTGAAACCTAGGTACCTCACTGAGAAACCTTAGTTCCTCACTGAGGAACTTTAGTACCTCACTGAGAAACCTAGCTGAGAAACCTTGGTGTACCTCACTGAGAAACCTGGTTACCTCACTGTGAAACCTGGGTATCTCGCTGAGAAACCTAGCTTCCTCACTGTGAAATCTGGGTACCTCACTGTGAAACCTGGGTAACCTCACTGTGAAACCTGGTTACCTCACTGTGAAACCTGGGTATCTCGCTGAGAAACCTAGCTTCCTCACTGTGAAATCTGGGTACCTCACTGTGAAACCTGGGTATCTCACTGAGAAACCTGGATACCTCACTGAGAAACCTGGATACCTCACTGAGAAACCTGGATACCTCACTGAGAAACCTGGACACCTCACTGTGAAACCTAGCTACCTTACTGAGAAACCTGGGTACCTCACTAAGAAACCTGGATACCTCACTGAGAAACCTGGATACCTCACTACGAAACCTGGATACATCGCTGAGAAACCTGGATACATCGCTGAGAAACCTAGCTACCTCACTTAAAAACCTGGGTACCTCACTGAGAAACCTGGATACCTCACTGGGAAACCTGGATACCTCACTGAGAAACCTGGATACCTCACTGGGAAACCTGGGTACCTCACTGGGAAACCTGGATACCTCACTGAGAAACCTGTATACCTCACTGTTATATTTGCACTGATTGATGGATTCAGTTCCTTGGCACACCCAATCAAATCATTCAACTTAACTGAGGTCAAATAAGTTTTAAGGGACAGCCATGAAAACTTGACTGCATTGAAACCGTACAAATCAAGCGACGAGTAATTCACCACTAGTTAACATTTTTGACATGCCATTATGCTACAACAACAAAGTATTATATTTTAAAATCCAGACACATTCACATCTCTCGGTGACTTGTAAATCATCAGTGTAAATTTGAAATGTGGGGCAATGACATAGTAAATTTGACGAGGTCCCAATGAGATAGTTACTCATTTTTCAAATTTGATAAAACACATGTTATAATTTATTGACCAGTGCTCTACTGCTGAAGATATTAATCATGTTGTGAATAATTTCATACCAAAGGGTGCAAATTTAAGAAAACATTGTGCATGTTAGCAGTGATATGTTAATATCCGTTGTTATGTAAATATACCAATCACGGGGATAATCATTGTCAAACATTACTGTTCAACAGCATTAGTCGACTGTTTACAAATGCCCTGTAGTTCAAATGCATCTGTTTAGTCACAATACACTATCAAATATACTCTGCATCTACCGGTAAGTCTGCTCAAACAACACAAATACAATCTGAATGTATTATGCAAAAACATAGCAGTGTTTGTTTGTTTGTTTAATGTGTCAAACATCCATTTGAGTAGCATCCTACAGAAATTTGATTAGCTATGGTGATTTAGTTTGAAATATTTTCGATTGTAAAGAAAAATTTGACTATTTTTTGCTTCTTGCTATCTTAACCTTTTCACCTGACTTTCTCGCCCTAATTTTTCTGCACTTTTTTTTTATATTTTATCAATATCAATATAAACAGGACTGTTTTGTGGTGAAATGGTTAAGCCATTGACACTACATTCAGCATGTTTCATGTAAAACAGTGGTTTTGTTTTCTTATAATTTTATTATTTTCTTCACAGAATGTCATGGATGCTGATAAGTACTTCAAACGTAAAATTGACTTTATAAATACTCAAGTAGACAAACTGACAGATATTCTTCAAGAAAAAGTCAAACTAAAACAAGGTTAGTCTCTTATAAGTTGTATGTGACACAGAACACTATGATATTGATAAATATGCACGAGTTGTTAGTGACATGGGTCACCGGTATTGATGAATATGTATGAGTTGGGTGTGACATATACATGAGTTGTGTTGTGAGATGGTTCACTGGTATTGATAAATATGCGTTGGGTGTGACATATACATGAGCTGC